AGTGTTGCATTCGATCTGGGTTGACATGGTGTTTGTTTGTGTTTTGTCTCTGTTGCATCCACATCCTCGCAGCAGCGTCTCTCTTGCTTGAATGCTTCGCATCGAGTTCATTCATGCTTGTTGTCTAACACGTGACGAGGGAGAACAGAGCCACGCAAACAACATCTCACCAGCTAGACGTTCGCGTGACTGCATGCTGGCGAACATTGATGGCATTGCAGGGGTTGGTGTGAAGCATGGTCTAGTGCTACTTGCAATGCTAAGCCAGGTCTCGTTTGTGGACTACGACTTGGACCCAGACCATATCTCCGGAGTTCTCAACTATGATCCTCCGGAGGATCTCTCTGTAGCACCACGGCAAAGACTGCGGGCGAGGGTTCGAATTCAATTGGTGCTCATACTTGCCCTTGGCAGTCTGTCGGCAAGGAATGGGCGGTCGGCCCCCTCCCCTGCCCTACATGCGAAACCCCACAGCCTGGGCGGCAACTCAGGTGACACACTTCGTGCTGTACTTGGCTCGTGCTCTGGCAGCACTGATGCCACTGCCTCTGTTGCATAGTGATCGCCAGTGATTGTCGCAACATTCATCCTCAAACCCCTACAGATCCTGAAGCGCCAAGGCCCCCAAGCCCAACGAGACCTAAAAACCCTGCAGAGTCCACAAATCCACTAATGGAATCATGCACGAAACCTCCAACCAAGGCTATGTGAATGGGCAGCTGGAGCGGGCACCGTATCCATTCAATGTCTCTGAGGAGGAGCTCACCCAGCTTGCTGCGCGGCTTCGAAAGGTTTCCTTCAGTCAAGGCTTCAAGGCTTGCCAATGGCACGCCGTGCCCGCGGCTCAAGAACCAACTGCCCAAGCTACCCTGTTTGCAGCCCGAACCCTTCCGGGACCCCTTCCCGTTTTGGGTTGGGGGCTTAAGTGAGTTCGGGAGTCGACTGATTCAGTGTCGGTTCAAGCTTAATCTGCAGTCTCTCAGCTTTTCACGAGCTCATCTTCCCCGCTTAGCCCCGAATCCCGGAATCCCAGCCCAATACGGAACCTGCTTGACAGTTGCAGTTGCGGGGCGTTGGGGTCTTTAGAGTTTAGGCTGCAGGCCTTCGGGCGGAGGGTGTCCCACTTTGGCTTTGGTCTCACACTCACACACTAACGTCAACCCCAAACCCTAATCTGCCAAGGGCCAACCTAATAGGGTTTTCAACCCTTTTGAACCCCGAGCACGGGTCCGGATGCGCAATTGAAAGCCTTAAACCCTAAACCCTCGACCTTTAGGGTTGAGGCCCTGGCTGCCCTTCCTCGAAAGCCCTGCAGAGCTCAGCATGCTACATGTTTCAGCCCCGGGTGGACAAGCCATGTAAGTAGAGTATAGGGCTTGGGGCCTAAGGGTTTATAGGAGGGACGCGGAAGGTCTTCGAAGTTTGGACCTTGGTGCCAAGGCGTCCACGGTGACAACCACGACAGAAGAGGTGGTAGAAGATGGTACCTAAGCTGCACAGGTCGGTACTCTTTGAGGTCTTGCCGCATGTCCAAGCTGAGCGCCAGAGCTGCCACTGAGATACCGCCAACGCCTCGAACACCACGGAACTTGCAAATGTCACCAGCACCACCACCAGCGGCACATCGACCACAACGGCCACATCGACCAGCTCCACAACAACGCGCACCAGCACGACGACTATGTTCGGAGACACGATTCGGAGCCTGGGCGAAATTCTAGAGGGTCTCTGGGTGAGATGCTGTTGCTCAGGAGTCCTGCGTTAGGGTGCTTTACCTCTCGAGCTTCTTTCTGCTCCAAGGATGCAGATTCCGTGCGACACTGCCGTGAGCTCAGGTTGTGGTATGTGAGCGTTTCGCAACTTTTTGTATAGGTTTCAATCTCCACACGACAGCCGCTCAGCGCAGCTCTCTGTCAAAGGAGCTGGAAGGCTACACGCACATGCTGCTGTACTCAGCAACGGAGTTCGCGGCCTCTGATCTGCAATGGGTGCAGCTTTGTACGTTGTGGCCATTTCCCCTTTCAGCTCCCTGTTTTCGCAGCATGGCTGCAGCCGTGTATTTGGCCGCTGTACGTCGTATCGGTTGTGGCTGCAAGTGTTCCGAATGCGGTGGCACATCTGGATACGGTGGGCACTTTTTGGCACACCTGACAAAGTAGAACCGAACACAAAGAGAAAGCAATAACGAAGTTCGCGGCTGGGTGCTAAGATGACTTTGGGGGCTGGGACAAGTATCGCTTGAAGAATGGATCTAAACATGCAATCCACACGGCAAATCGATGTTCCACTTGGTTCTCAGGAGCAGACGTATCCCGTGATTCTGGAGCTGGACAATGCGAATTCGGCCGCTACGAACATCAGTGACCCTGACTTGTCAGATATATATACATATATATATACACATATGTATAGAATATCTCTTCAGTGTCCTTTGCTAGCGAACCCCTTAGCAAGGGAAGGAGGTGCTTTCTTGGTCCTCGAGTCCTAGCCGCCTGCGTGTTGCTGAGTGTCCCTTTGCAACCCTACCTGCACGAAGCTTCCCAAGCGTTCAGGGTCGGCCAAGATTCTCTGAGATCGCCTTGCAGACACAGGTTACGTTGCCGAAGACCTGAACTTGGACGACTTGGCTGGCACAGTGGAGTGGGACCACCCAGACGACTACTCCAAAGTCCAGGCCGCACAAGTTCCGTGTAATTTTGCCTGCGCTGAGGTTTGGGTTGACTCAAGCCGGGGTTGTGTTCAAGTCGTAAATTTAGACGAACCGAGAGTTCCATCCTGAAAAGCCGACGCACCTGGAGGGCCTAAATCTAAGGCTAAGGCCTTTCTGGCCATGCTGCTTCGACTTGCGTGCCGCATGAACAATTGCATGCTGCCTCGCGGGGGCGCAGTTTGTGCTCGATTGTCAAAGATGGGAAGAAGTACGATTCAGTACGATTTGTTGCCACCAGTTTGTGCTCGATTGTCAAAGATAAAAAGAAGTACGATTTGTTGCCACCAGTTTGTGCTCGATTGTCAAAGATGGGAAGAAGTACGGTTTGTTGCCGCCAGCTGTGCTGGATTGTAAGGGATGGGACGACGTACGAATTGTTGCCACCAGTTCGTGTTCTTTTGTCGAAGAGGGGAAGAGCTACGATTTGTTGTCGCCAGTTTGTGCTCGATTGTCAAAGAAGGGAAGAAGTACGTTTTGTTGCCACTAGTTTGTCCTCGATTGTCAAAGAAGGGAAGAAGTACGATGTGTTGCCACCAGCTTGTGCTCGATTGTCAAAGATGGGAAGAAGTACGTTTTGTTGCCACCAGTTCCTGCTCGATTGTCAAAGAAGGGTACAAAGTACGATTTGTTGCCACCAGTTCTTGCTCGATTGTCAAAGATGGGAAGAAGTACGATTGGCTGCCACCAGTTTGTGTTGATTGTCAAACATGGGAAGAAGTACGATTGTTGACGCCAGTTTGTGCAAAGATGGGAAGAAGTACGATTTGTTGCCACCAGTTTCTGCTTGATTATCAAAGAAGGGAAGAAGTACGATTTGTTGCCACCAGTTTGTGCTCGATTGTCAAAGATGGGAAGAAGTACGATTTGTTGACACACGAGTGTCAACGATGGGAGGAAGTACGATTTGTTGCCGCCAGTTTGTCCTCGATTGTCAAACATGGGAAGAAGTACGATTTGTTGCCGCCAGTTTGTGCTCGATTGTCAAAGATGGGAAGAAATACCATATTTTGCCACTAATTTGTGCTGGAGTGTCGAAGTACGTGCGTGTAGGAGGCGCCCGCGCGCAATTGAGACCGCAAGACAAGACAGCATGAATTTGGAGGCTCTTAACTAAAGGCCCCTTCGCCTCAGCCCCACTGGTCAACTCGTCTTTGTGTCTTAATTCGAGAACACAGCACAAGCCCGAAGTCTCAAAGACCCTACGCCGCTGGCGCCCCCCCAGGAGTACCAGACGGAGCTCCAGGATGTTGATGGCAATTCGCCCTTGTCGCTGGCCACCACCCCTGTGAGCGCAAGCCTCACCATCACCGCAGCAAGCTCAGGGGGAAGACTTGGGCAAAGATGCTGGGGAAATTGATGTTGGGGTTTGATGTTCTGGCTGTTGGGGGTTTAGGAGGACCTTTGGAGTTGTTCGGAAAGCTCAGGTCCCCTCCACTCCACGCTCCATCTACGGCCGCCTTGCTATCTACACGCAGTCTGCGCGTTGCCGCTCCACAGTTCCGTCCGTCCTGACTATCCAGGCGCCTGTTCTTTTGGAAAAGTAGCTGTGTGCACTCAGAGGCTCCGTCGGCTTTGTGCAGTTGCTAGAATCTAGAAGATCAAGAATCAAGAGTTTGATGAGAGACCACAGGGAAGCTGTTGCTGGAGACTGTGACGCATGAATTCCCTGCAGCAGCTTCTGAAAGACCCTACGCAGCGACCCTAGGACTCTTCTCCCACCCCAAACCTAACCCCAAACATCAGGGTGCCACGCTGGACTTCACAGTCGGGGACCTGGCCCTCATCGACAAGGACCTTGACGAAGGCGCCGGCGAGCGGGGACATGAAGGGACCCAGCGGAGGGCGCGCGGGCGTCTGTGGTGTCTCCCCAAAGTGAGCGGGAAGTGTTGAGTCATGGACTCATGGACTGTTTTGACATTGAGGGAGGTTCACGACGGTGGCTTGACAATTCGCGGGCGCCAGCGGTTGATCTTCTGCCGTAGCCGTCGGGTCAAAGCACAGAAGAGAGGACTCTTGTGCCTTGCAACCCGAAAACTTGGTGTCAATGTTACGTGTTCTCCGTCTGTCAGGGGCCGAGGTCGCTTGTCTTCCCGTGGCTGAGTTGAGTGTGGTCAAAAGCTTGAAGCGGCACCTGCACAAGCTTATCGGGGTGCCGCGATCTAGGCAACACCGATTTAGGCAAAACCTCCTCTACAACGGCATTCGGCTGCAGGACGATCTCATGTATGATCTTCCAATCGATGTGCGTTGGTGGTGCTGCCTTTCATGAACACTTCCCAGGAGCAAGCCGATGATTGCCCGAGCAGCAGCGGATGGCTGTACGACTGAGGTGAGCACGATCTTACACCGACCGCAGGATCCAAACTGTCTGAGCCATGACGGAATGAGCCCTCTTGGCATGGCTGCATGTTGTGGTCACATTGAGGTGGCGCAGCTATTGCTAGAAGCTGAGGCATGGATAAACGAGATCGATCATGATGGCAACACGCCTCTCACCTGCGCAGCTTACAGAGGTCATAACGACATGGTGCACTTACTGCTGCAGGCAGGCTCTCCCACAAACACGACAAACATCCATGGTGACACAGCGCTCAGTCGCGCATCTGCCCGAGGATACACGGACCTTTCAAACGTGCATGGCGAAACAGCCCTCATTCGCGCAGCCAAGCGTGGTCATTTGCAAGTTGTCCGTTCGCTGCTCGCTGCCGGTGCAGACAGGGAGGTAGCTATGCAGGCATCAAAGCCTCCCAAGCTGCCAAAGGCAGGGCCAAGCTGGCATTCTTCAGGGTGAAGCGAGTTTCTGCGGACCCGAGAAAGGCCCCGCCTTTCGTCGTTGAACACCACGGTAGCACCGCGCAGTGAGGCTTTGGAATTCGTGAGCGGAAGAGTCGACGGCGAAAAAAAGAAAGGCTTGCCAAGGGACCCAGCCCAAGGGTTTGGAGAGAGAGAGAGAGAGAGAGAGAGAGAAGCTTAGTTACTTGGTGAGTGGGTGCCCGCCTGGCCGAAATATGGAAGAGGCACCATCAGATCAGTGCTACAGCATTGGCTCTGCTAGGCGGTTCTAAATTTCAGGGAGGGGCATGCTACTTTGGAAGTATCCTGGCCATGCTCTCTCCATGTCACCTGACAGGAGAAATCGGAGGCGATATCACTTGGAACACACCGAGGACTTGGATGCATTGTCATTTCCTGGCAGAGCCTTCCAAAGCTGGCTTAGACACAAACGAACCCTACATTCCAGCCCCAGATGGCCACTAAATGGTCCCAATGCTGTTGCCTGGGAAGGCTTAAACAAGGATATGGCCCCATGGAGATGAGAGATTAGAAGGGAGATGGCCGTGAGGACCGTGGGCCCTGTGGCCAAGCTCATGGTCTACCTGGCCACGTCGGCAGCACCCTCAGACACTTCAAACCCAGGCCTAGGGCTCTACCTTTCTCAGATTAGGAGTTTGGACGCGCAGGGCTGGGTGCTGCCTGCGCATCTGTTGGGATCATGTCTGTAATCCTAACGGGTGCGGCTGCTGAAAGCCCGGGGTCAGGGTCTGTCCGTCTCGGCACTTTGGCACGCCGTCGCGTCGCTCATTGCGTATGATTCGGTTGCTCTTGAAGGTCAATTTACGCCGGCTTTTCGAAAGTTTGTCTCTGCCCACCTGATAGCTCCGTCTCCAAACCCTAGGCGGATGGTGACGACCGATACTTCCTGAGGGAGCTGTCTCCGACTACAGAGGCTCGAGGTGAAAGATGTTCTAAGACTGTTAAGGGCTTGCTTGAGAAGGCTGTTCCATTGTGCCCAACTGACTTCGCTGTTCGTTTCAGGGTTCGTCACCGGATGCTGCTAAGTGGGGAAAGCTCTTTCAGGCTTTATCCCCAGCTCGTGTGTCGATGGCATGGCTGTCGTGGCTCTGAGGTGCAAGCTCGGTAGGAGAGGCTGTGAAAGGAAGTAGACATATGAGGCGCCACTCTGTTGGAAACGACTGAGGCCTCTTTAACGGCTCCCATCTTCCCATCCTCCCAACAAATGCACGGTAACTGTAACTCTTGGCCTTCTGCTTGAAGCCCTGATCGAGTGTTCCCTGATTCCTGCGCTGCTTCGAGCTTAAAGCGCGGCCAAAGGGGCCTCCCTTCCCTCAGCTAACCTCCAAGCGCAGCGAAGCCGAGCAAGCTCAGGAGAGCCTGCTTATCGAGCCCAACTACTTCTTAGGCTTGGACCTGAACGAGACAGCGGCTCGGATGCTCATTTTTTCTGGACTTTGCCAGCACCGGTGTGAGCTTGCTATGAGCTCTCCAGGCAGTCTAACATCTACTACCCCACTCCTGTACCGCAGTCCTCTCAACAATCAAGACAGAGATGGTGTAAGACCTCGCTGCTGAAGTGCAGCCCGTGTATTTTAATGTAAGACAGACTGTAGTGTTAATTTGTTTACGGTTTGGGGTCCCGGGTTACAGGAGCTTTCGGGGCAGGGTAGCAGGCTATGGGGGTCTAAACGAGAGGGCTGAGCGCTCAAGTCTCAAAGCCTTTCAAAAAGCGACCCTAAAACGACAGAGGATGGCACCACGGTTACCCGGACCACTACGCAGACAGGACCCGACGGGAGGGGAGCTGTCGGAACTCGAAAGCCTGGGAATTGGGTTCAAAGGTTCTCGGTGGTGGAGGTTAGCGGCCACTGAGGTTTCGAGTTGAGGTCACGGTTCACGCGGCACAGTGGCAACTTCTGGCTGTGCTTCATGTCTGTTGGGGATGAAGCCCAAACACCACTCGCTCCCCCCCAAGTCTCCAACTCTGACCCTTCAGGTGATTTTTTTCAGTCAACTGTAGACTCCTATCAAATATGCCCTGAGGAAACATGAGCTCCTGGGTCCAGAGTGGGCCAGAGGTGATCCCTCCGGCGCTCCCTCGCGCGCTTGGACAAGGGCCAACACAACCTTACGACGCTGTTTTCTTGCCAGGTGCGCATGACTCACATTCTCGTCTATTCCTTGTCCTCCACGGTGGAGATGAGGACGCAAGCTGCTCATGTCTCCCCTGCACCCTCGAGCCATCGAGCCATCTAGTGCGAATTCCCGCAAAGCCCCTCAAAAGTCGAATCCTTTTACTGCAGCTTTCGAAAAAGGACGCCGGCAGCCTTCGAGATCGCTGACGCCAACGCCAGCGTCTCCAACATCACCTTCCCAGATGAAGACCTGGACCTGCATGAGGTGGGAGGTGCCTCGACCGAGCTACTTGGGGATCATCTCCTTCAGGGGTGTTTTTTTTTCGTAAGGCGAATTTGGGTGAGGCTTGAATGATGCTAGCTTGGCTTGCGGGGAGGATGGAGGGTGAGCTTCAAAAATGATGGTTGGGGTTCCAGGCTGTTGTACTCCAGGCGGGCCATAGTTTGGATTGGGCCCCTGAGGGGAGCTGAGGGGTGCCAAGCATGAAAGGGGCCCTGAGACGCGAAAAAGTCACGTGCGGCTAGCAAGTTCAAGATGTCTATTCCAACTAACTGTATAACTAGCCGGATGCAAAGGGCCGGGTGTGACTGAGGCACCGTGTCCTGGGAACCCCCAGGCCTCTACGAGGCAGCCGGAGAGAACAATCCATCGCAAGCTTGAAGCGGATGTTTGTTCTAACAACTCAGTTCCTCATCCATGATGCAGGAAGCGGTCGCGCACTACCGGGTGTATATTGCCATGAACGATCGCGGGCTGGATAGGTGCGAAGCCCAGTCGAGGGCATTGTGCTGAGTGGCTGAAAGGCGGTTCGACGAACGTGCAAAGCAGTGGCATGAGTAGCTACGAAACAAACAAGAGCAAAAGCTCTTAAGGCTTTAAACTCATAATGCATGGATGCATGCAGCTGTGACAAGTTCTGCCCGGCAGGATTCTGGCAGCTCCTCAGTCGCCGGTCGGCACGAATTTCGGGAGCGTTCCAGCGGAGACAGTCTTGCCATACTGCACCGCAGCTGCAAGAGGCTAAGAGGAGGTGGTTCTCCTTCTCCTGGTTGCAGGGCTAAATTTGCCAGCACCGACGGCATTTGCTAGCCAAGTGAGATGACTTCTTGTTGCCAGTTGCTCCCAGATTCTTTCGATCCAACGCAGCCCCAGGCCACAGAACATGAACATGTGTTTTTAAGTGTTGTTTGTTCAATTGTGTTTTGTTCTATGAATCTTCTCGTTGTTATATGCTCATTTATGGTTTGTGTGTGTGTGTGTGTGTGTGTGTGTGTCTGTGTGCGTGTGTGCTTTTTTTCAACATGTTTCATTTTGTTTTTTTGTGAAGCTACCAAAACTGAGACTTAAGCCCCTATGCCATGTACGACAAAGCCAGTGAACTCGCAATGCCCAATTCCATATGATTGCCCCGCTCAGGTGATCAAAGCGCCAATGTGCGGCCCATTGCGCTGCAAGCGGCGCAGCCCACGGTGGTGCCCCTGCTCCTATGAACCCCCTGCCAGAAAGTCCAAGTGGCTGCTCAGCAGCTTGCGTGAGAGCTTCACGTTTAAATTTGCTGAGTTGCTCAGACATCCTCTATAGCCGTCCTTATATGCCAACTTTCGAAGATCGCCCCACGAGTCAAAGAGCCTCGCATGCCACCCAGGGCTCCCCTGAACAGCATGTTTTCTCTCGATGTCTTCAGAAGAGGTGCTGGTGCACTCCGTCTCCACGCTCTCCGAACAGACGACCCCGACCTGGAAAAATGTCAGCGACACCAACTTTCAGGTCGGGAACAGGGGGCAGCTTGGGGGCTTCGGGGAGTTTGGGAAGGGAACCCTGCGAGGTAAGGAAACGACACCCTGAAAAAACGGGCCCTCAACCCGGAGGTCACCAACGTGAACCTGGAAGACCTTGACCTGGATGTGGGTCAGCTCGGGGGCTCGATCGTCTGGGAGCCCTGCCCAGACTTTGAGAACAGACCAAAGGAAAGGGCGTTTGGAGCTTCCTCTTTTTTCCGGGCTTAGGGAGTCTTTGGGCTTAAGCCCCCCCCCCCCCCCCCTCGCAGCCCTAGAGACGCCGCTCCGAAACGCTGTTGACGTAAGGATCTTCCATACCAAGAATCCCTCGTGACCCACTACATGGTCTACTTCGGCCGGCTGGTCTACAGCTGCTCCGCCGGCCATAGCCCGTACGCAAAGCGTGCGCTTTATAGTGTAGAATATTGTATATACTTGTACACGCTTGCGCGCGCCGCCTCGGCAGCCGGGCCGGCCTAGGGACAGGAAAGGAGGAAAGAGGGTTTCTGAGAAAGGCCTCAAAAAAAGGGGAGGGTCCCAGGAAGGGTCCCCCCTCTACAGGGGCAAGGAGATCCCGTGTCTACTTGTTCCAAGCGCTTCTCGGCAGGAAGCCGAGGGGAATGATTATATGTATAAACACCGCTACATGGTATTGTATTGTACTATCTTCTGTTTTACTCTGTATACATACGTGTCTGTTGGTTTTGTTGATTTACTCCTTGTTGGGGCCCTCCCAGGTTACGGAACCGATTCCGAGGGCATTTGGGATCTCAACACCGCCTCCAAGGACTGCCACGCGTGTTGGGCCCAGTTTATTCTAACTTTTTGTATGAAGGGGTTTGTATCTTGGCTTGCGGGGGCTTTAGTAACTTTAGTATTGGTTTGGCTAGTTTTCGGGGTTCTGTGGCCTGTTTGGTGGTGGGGAGGGCAGCAGGGCAGCAGCTGCCGGCGAGTCTAGAGTTATTGTGGAAGGGCTTTAGTGTTTAATGCGTGTCCACCCATGGCATCCACACACACACAGGACACATTCGTGGCGGCTGCAATTTGGTGGCACTTCGCCACGCCCCCAGAGTCGGACCTCCAACGCTGTCTCGTTCTGTTTCGCTCTCTCCACTGTAATCGGGTATGAAATGCTGGCTTCTGAACAAAGGATGTCCTAAACCTGCCCTACTGTAAAGACCTGCAGCATGCAGCTGTCAAGAAGAGGCAGGCTCACAATGAGCAGAAGTCTTTGCTCATGTTTCAGGACTCTTGGGCCTCGTGTTACATGGAAAATTGCTGCTAAGGACTTTGGGATCTTGAGCCGCCTTTGTTGAAAAGGGATGAACTCGCTCGTTGCAAGTGACCTGTCAGTCCTGCTACGCGAATCCCCACCCCCCCACCCCTCTGAAGTTCTCTGAAGCTCGCAAGCGTTTGAGGTTGAACTGAAAGCCGAAACGACCTTCGCACCCAGCGACTACATCCTGGTCTATGCGGCCTCGGCCGTAAGCTCGGTCCAGGGCATTGAGAGCTTGGTTTGGGTGCCAAGCCGTCGAGACACCGGAGCACTCCAAAAGAGTTCTTGAGTGCCTTAGGGAAGCCACGGGAAAGGCTTGGGGTCTGGATGCCTCGCCTCTTTTTCGAGGCCCTCGCTGAGCAGACGCGGCCCGCAACGCGCTTCATCCCTGACGACAGTGGGGCCCTCAATGGCAACGAAGAGAGAGACTTTTTGCCAGTAGGTTGACATTGGGGCCCGTCGTTGCCATAGTCAGCTGAGGCTAAGGTGGAGCGCAACTGTTTAAAGTGAGGGCAAGTGTGCAGCCAGGCTTCACCGTCCATTCGCTCACCTTCACGGACCTAGACCTCGACAACGACGAGGTCTTTTCGAGCTTTGGGGTGCTTTGGGTGCTTTGGGTGGGGGAAACAAAGCCGTTTCACCGTTTCACCACTGTCAGTTCCAGGCTTCCAGACTCCCACTCCCGACCTCCTCTGCCCTCTCTTCAAATCAACTCCCAACCCCTCAAAAGCCCGATCAAGAAAATCACCTCAAAGCAGCCGGAACTTCGCGGAACTTAGACTCCCTTGCCAGCTTGGTGGTACCCTGGGCTGGTGGGAGCACAGCCAGAGCTACAAGGTGGCGACTTGGCGCTGACAGGTTCCGGAAGGGGGGGGCTCTTGTGGACTCTTCAAGATTCCTTTTTGGGGGGGCTCGGCTTATCCTTCATGGGAGAGCACCGAGGAATACTACCACGTCTTCCTGGCAACGGACGCGGCCGGCTCAAACCGCGTCCGCATCAGCAACGACACAGGCGAGAGCCCAGGGACTCCAATTGGAATTCCCAATGGCCTCTTTTTTAGTTTTTTTTTCAAAAACGTTTTCACTCCCGAAAGCGCGCTTGAAAGTTTGAAGGCTCGTTTTCTTGTTCTTGGTTCCGTCTTAGGGCAGCTTCTTATGAGTTTAACCACTGATTGGGTTGTAGCGATCGAGATCTCGGGTGAAAAGCAGGGGCGGTACTAGCATCTCACTGGAAGACATGCAACAGCTTAAGCAGCGCGGGCCAAACCCTTCGCTCCGGGGTTTCGGGGGATCACTTCGGGACTTCAGGGGCCTTCACCCTGCGTCGAGCTGGAGAAAATGGAATGATGAGATGTCAAGAGCGGGGTGGGTCCTGAAACCTGTTGGCGGACGCCAAATACGCAAGTGGACCTTGGGAAGCAATTGAACTTGCACTTGAAGTACCTCTGAAACCGATGCTGCGCCTGGTACGTTGGCAGAGCATGAGGGCAGGTTCTGCCCCTGAACTCGGCGCCCTCCAACAACACAACACGCGGCGCCTTTGCATCAGTGCTGCACTCACAATGCAAAATGCCGGGCAGCAAAGGCCTCAACCCCTAAGCCTATACACCCCAGACCCTGCGGCACCCAGCAGTTGCGTGCAGGCGTACCGCAAGGAACAAGCTATTTCAACGTGGAGCCCGACACGACGGTCTTCCCCCAACATGTTTAAATTGAGGTTCACCGCGGTTCAGGGAGGTTTAAAGAGTTGCGCCCTGGAGCAGTTGCTTGAACTGGGCTTGAACCGCGATGAAAGTCTTGGATCCTACAATTTTTGTGACACCTTCCGCCAGGTCTGGTTGCCAGGAAGCCTGCATGCGACCCACTTCTGCATCTTTCAGGCCATGCGGTCACGATGAAGAACTCCAGTCGTCCCCAAGCGTAAAAGTAGGGAGCCCGACGCAACCTCCAGAGGCACATCAATCAGACACACCCCGATTGTTCAAGCTAGTGTTGGGGGGATGGCTGGAGGTGATTGTTTAGAGGCAGCAGCAGGGCGCCCACCCAGAAATCAAAAAAGGATCTGCTTTGGCGCTCATGTTTGGGAAGTCTGAAGCCCTGAACATTTAAGCCTCGAAGCTCCTCAAACCCGAATGTAGATCCGGCTGGGAGGAGACGCGGCTGGTCGAGGAGAACACGCCTGCGGCCCTTGCCATCTCAGACACTTTCGCCCAAGCTCAGCAGGCCCGATCACAAAATTCAGAGAAGCCTCCCCAAACAGCCCGCGAAGCCTGCTGGAAGACCATAGACTTTGGCGTGGCCAACGTGCGGAGCGTTTCATGATTCTGGCGGTTTCTCAAGGTCCCTTCTACCTTTATCCAGACAAGACGATGGAACACTGTTGGCGCTAAGCAGCTACGAGTGCTCCAAAGACCGTCTAGTCTAGTCTCGGGGCTGTGCATGAAGCAGGTCAGCTTCACAGACCTGGACCTTGATGTGAACGAATTCGGCGGTAATCTGTCTTGGCAGCAGCCTTCTGCGGACACGGCCCTCATCACCCACTATAGGGCAGCTTTGCTCAACCGGTGGAGCAGGGCGAGGGGAGGAGGGAGGAAAGGCACAGGGGGTCTGCGAAGCCTGAAGAAACGCAGAAAGTGCCCAGGTGTACTTCAGCATCGACGCTGCTGGCCAGGACAACCGTCGCTCGTCGAAATGCCAGCAACGCTAGGCAGACATTTGACTTTCGAGTTTGGGTAGACATAGTGAATGCAGCCTTCTGAGTAGTTGCATCACAGCCTGCAGTGCTGCAAGGCTACCTGTTCACCTACGTTCAGCAGCCTTACTCCGAAGTGGCCATCCCGGCAGATACCTCGCGCTTGCACCCTAGCGCCTTGTCAGCCATGGGGGGTGGTCGAGTTTGCCGGGCTTGGGCGTTCCAAGCCATTCCACATGTCATTAGGACCAGGGCTTCAATGAGGGTTCCCCCTTGCCCTCAAAGGCCACTTCCGCCCGGACAACACAAGCTACCTCTTCGCCTCTCGACTGCAACTCAATTCGCCCCCATGAAACTTGAGCCGGAAGAACCCCAAAGCACGGCATGGTACGGGAGGAGGGGGATTACACGGCAGGTTGTAGATAGATGTCCACAAGTGGGTTGGGCGTTAGGCTTTGTAGACCTATAGCAGTTGGACGAGGAGCATTTAAAATTTCCGTCATGCAGGACTATGTCCTGGTGTACGCAGAGTCCACACTGGCGGAGCAGACGACGCCGGCCTACGTCGACATCGTCGACTCCGACATGCCTGTCACGGATGTCGTTTGGGTTGGCGAGGCCGGGTTTTCAGGAACCTCCTGAGCTGAGGGAGGATGTGAGAGGCGCACCCTTAAGGGCGGTCAAGCGTTTCAGCTCGGAGGGCTCCGAGGGCTTTTGTGCTCCGATAGGATTTGGACATCAACGACTTGGAGGGCACCTTGACGTGGACGCCTCCGGGGAATGTCTCCGGTGAGGTGATCACGTGCCCGGGCTCCCACTTGATTAAAGGGATTCTGTTTAAGGGGGGGGCCGTGGGGCAGTCCTTCCTTGTCATGTCCGAGTGGTTGCAGCATGCGAAGGACATGAGATATGTGATATGTATATATATATATATATAAATACAAACTCCAGTCACCCTTCCCACACCGTGAGGTATGCGGTCTACCTTGCGGATGCGAGTGATGGCGGCAACCGGCTGTTGGTGAACTGGAGCGGCAGCTACTCGCTGTCACAGAAGTGTGAGCCCCTACTCTCACACGATCCCTTCATACAAGCCTACAAGCATTGCGTCTTCACAACTATTATAGTTCATTGTCCATACCATTCATACTTAGTTTTGCATCCATGGCTAACGTACATTAGCCTTCCGCCCAAGCCGCAAAGGCTGACTTGAGCAGGAAACTTCAAACGAGGTCATGGTTTGGGGGGCCTTCCCCGACTGTACACCGATTCTAAGAGATACCGAGATGCGCAGCAAGACCTTCAAATGCAGAGAGTTGGTCAAACTGTCAGAAGTCCCAGTGGCCTTATCTGGAGCCCGAATGCTTATTGTGCAAGTGTCTGAGGCGCCCGTACTCTCAGCGAATGCTGACCCTGCTATGACCCCCAAAGCCTTCTGCACCCCAAGCCGCCTAAGCCCAGGCTACAATGCCACGGAGTTGGAGGCGACCGGAGCGCTCTCATATGTGGAGATCGGCGAAGTGCCCTTCGGTATCGCACCTGCACTTGGGGTCCCCTGGGGTCGGGAAGAATGAATGGGGCCTTTCTCCAGAAACCTAGGCATCAACACGTTCACCGTGCCGGCCGGGACCCTTCGGTCGAGCTACTCGCACTTCCTGGTCTACTCGCGCTCTGCCGGGACCTCTGATCAGGGGGGCAGGGGGGCCAGGGCGGAACTTCCCAGTTGCCGAAGGCCGTCGCGGGATGCAGGGGCAGCCACGGCAGCAGCAACAGTGTAACAGCAGGGCATGGTGCAGAGATTTTCGGCTCAAGCTCCCCCCACACAGAACGGCCCTCTGACCTTTCGGGTCACATGCTGGTCACCCGTTGCCTCTGCATTCTGTGGGTGCATGCAACGGTGCATGCTGGAGAAGCTGCTGGAGAAGCTGAGCCGAGGCTCAGGGGCTCGGGGGGCTCGGGGGGCTCGAGGGGCCTGCAAGGCTCTGCCAGCGGCACTGCTGCTCGCGAGCAGGAGAGTGTCGTTCCAATCTGCCGGCCGGGCTATCAGGACGTGACGAACGGCCAAGCCTTTGAGTTAGCTTGTGCCTCGCACTGTCCGGGAGGGCCATATGCGACAGCTACGTGCTCATGCGCCTGCCCATCCACTCCTGTGATAGAGATTCCTCTTGGCACCACGGGTGCCACGGGTGAGGCTGGCCAAGCTTCACTGAAGCCTGCAGGAGTCCGCGATTTTATTGCAAAAATCGAAGAGCAGACCACGACCTCGCAGCCAGAAGAAGAGGAAAAGGAAGCGGGCATCGAAGACCTTGTGATCCTGGTCTCTGCAATCGTTTTGCTGTCGAGCTCTGCCGTTGTCGTGGCCGTGGGCGTCCTGAGTGGATTTTGCAAGAAGCGGGAGAAGCGCGAGAAGAAGCGGGCCTGGGCCGCTCCAGCGCATTCCATGCGACTTCCCAAAGAGAAGTGCCCGGAACCTCCAGCAGCATCTGCACAGCCCATACAGCATTTACAAAATTTACAGCCTATACAGACTCCAGGTCCAGTGGGCGGGGAGCCATCCCGAGAGGATCTTGACGTGCTGGAGCTGAGTAGCGTGACTACCCAACAGTGTAGTGCCAAAAGCCCCAGTGAGCCCCAGGGGCCAGATCTCACACAGCCACGAGGCATACTGAGGATGTCTTTTTCAACGGCTAAGGTGTCCCGAGTCCGGCCTGTTTCCTAGACAGCCCGAGCTCTGTTCGAGGCTTCTTCCTTTCAGGTCGACATCGGGACATCCGTCGTAGTTTTTTCCTCAGAATTTTCTCCCATGAATTTGTTTCTGGCTGCTTAGCACGCCCAGAAATTTTCCATGACAGCAAGTTCTGTCATCTTACTTACTCTTGTTTGCCAATTCCCTTCCAGATGTGGCGTGTTCCTGGTCAACATGTACTTGACCCAGGTTTCTCACCTGCGGCAAGTCTGTCCAGGAATGCAGTTTCACTGGCATTTAGCCTTTTTCTTGTCAACATGGCTTGACCCAGGTTTCTCACCTGCGGCAAGTCTGTCCAGGCATAAACCCTTTGAAAGCCAGGACAAGCGCAAGAGCCGCAAGAGCGTTGCAACATGCATCTCTACTGTGGGGCCTCCAAGGGGATCCTCTCACCCTAAGCCTGGGGTTCCTCCACCACACCAAGGCTTAGAGGAATCTTCCTATGCCCTCTGACTTAGCTTCAAGACCCGACCCAGTCCCTTGGCCCGAAACCCACCCTGAAACCTGAGACCCGAAGAAGCACACCCCAAACCTGGCTTCTTCCTCAGGCCCTTGCAGAGGCTTCGACACCTGCCTTTTTGTCCTTCCTCGGCGCTGCCCTGAACGCTTCGGTCACCGAAGTGAACTTCACAGACGACGCGGCTCAGATGCAAAGCTGAGGGCTTAGGTTTCAGGGTCAGGGAGGGCTCACCTGGCGACTCAATGCACGTCGATTTCTTCGAAGGCTTCCAAAGCAAACTCAGCAAGTCCCTCAGCAGTCTCGAAGGCTTGAGCGGCCTATCAGCTGTCAACAGAAGCGGATTTAACCGGCCACTGCAGAGGCTGGTTGGCAGGAACTAGCAGGGGCTTATGGGTGTGCGGCGCGCGCCTGGGCCGTCAGCAGGGGCGTGGTTAGCACAAAGCTTAGCAAACGGAGGGTGTGGCTAGCAGGGGTGTGGCTAGCAAAAGGGGGGTGTGGCTAGCGAGGGTGTGGTTAGCATAAGGGGTGTGGCTAGCACAGGGTGTGTGGCTAGCGAATGGGTGTGGTTGGCAAAAGGGGTGTGGCTAGGGAAATGGGTGTGGTTAGCATAAGGGGTGTGGTTAGCAAGGGTGTGGTTAGCAGGGGTGTGGCTAGCAAAAGGGGGTGTGGTTAGCAGGGGTGTGGTTAGCATAAGGGGGTGTGGTTAGCAGGGGTGTGGCTAGCAAAAGGGGGGTGTGGTTAGCAGGGGTGTGGTTGGCAGGAACTAGCAGGGGCTTATGGGTGTGCGGCGCGCGCCTGGGGCCGTCAGCAGGGGCGTGGTTAGCACAAAGCTTAGCAAACGGAGGGTGTTGGCCAGCAAAAGGGGGGTGTGGTTAGCGAGGGTGTGGTTAGCATAAGGGGTGTGGCTAGCACAGGGTGTGTGGCTAGCGAATGGGTGTGGTTGGCAAAAGGGGTGTGGCTAGCGAAATGGGTGTGGTTAGCATAAGGGGTGTGGTTAGCAAGGGTGTGGTTAGCAGGTGTGGCTAGCAAAAGGGGGTGTGGTTAGCAGGGGTGTGGTTAGCATAAGGGGGTGTGGTTAGCAGGTGTGGCTAGCAAAAGGGGGGTGTGGTTAGCAGTTGGCAGGAACTAGCAGGGGCTTATGTGTGTGCGGCGCGCGCCTGGGGCGTCAGCAGGGGCGTGGTTAGCACAAAGCTTAGCAAACGGAGGGTGTGGCTAGCAGGGGTGTGGCTAGCAAAAGGGGGGTGTGGTTAGCGAGGGTGTGGTTAGCATAAGGGGTGTGGCTAGCACAGGGTGTGTGTGGCTAGCGAATGGGTGTGGTTGGCAAAAGGGGTGTGGCTAGGGAAATGGGCGTGGTTAGCATAAGGGGTGTGGTTAGCAAGGGTGTGGTTAGCAGGGGTGTGGCTAGCAAAAGGGGGTGTGGTTAGCAGGGGTGTGGTTGGCAGGAACTAGCAGGGGCTTATGGGTGTGCGGCGCGCGCCTGGGGCGTCAGCAGGGGCGTGGTTAGCACAAAGCTTAGCAAACGGAGGGTGTGGCTAGCAAAAGGGGGGTGTGGTTAGCGAGGGTGTGGTTAGCATAAGGGGTGTGGCTAGCACAGGGTGTGTGGCTAGCGAATGGGTGTGGTTGGCAAAAGGGGTGTGGCTAGGGAAATGGGTGTGGTTAGCATAAGGGGTGTGGTTAGCAAGGGTGTGGTTAGCAGGGGTGTGGCTAGCAAAAGGGGGTGTGGTTAGCAGGGGTGTGGTTAGCATAAGGGGGTGTGGTTAGCAGGGGTGTGGCTAGCAAAAGGGGGGTGTGGTTAGCAGGGGTGTGGTTGGCAGGAACTAGCAGGGGCTTATGGGTGTGCGGCGCGCGCCTGGGGCCGTCAGCAGGGGCGTGGTTAGCACAAAGCTTAGCAAACGGAGGGTGTGGCTAGCAGGGGTGTGGCTAGCAAAAGGGGGGTGTGGTTAGCGAGGGTGTGGTTAGCATAAGGGGTGTGGCTAGCACAGGGTGTGTGGCTAGCGAATGGGTGTGGTTGGCAAAAGGGGTGTGGCTAGGGAAATGGGTGTGGTTAGCATAAGGGGTGTGGTTAGCAAGGGTGTATTTAGCAGGGGTGTGGCTAGCAAAAGGAGGTGTGGTTAGCAGGGGTGTGGTTAGCATAAGGGGGTGTGGTTAGCAGGGGTGTGGCTAGCAAAAGGGGGGTGTGGTTAGCAGGGGTGTGGTTGGCAGGAACTAGCAGGGGCTTATGGGTGTGCGGCGCGCGCCTGGGGCGTCAGCAGGGGCGTGGTTAGCACAAAGCTTAGCAAACGGAGGGTGTGGCTAGCAGGGGTGTGGCTAGCAAAAGGGGGGTGTGGTTAGCGAGGGTGTGGTTAGCATAAGGGGTGTGGCTAGCACAGGGTGTGTGGCTAGCGAATGGGTGTGGTTGGCAAAAGGGGTGTGGCTAGGGAAATGGGTGTGGTTAGCATAAGGGGTGTGGTTAGCAGGGGTGTGGCTAGCAAAAGGGGGTGTGGTTAGCAGGGGTGTGGTTAGCATAAGGGGGTGTGGTTAGGGGGGTGTGGTTAGCAGGGGTGTGGTTGGCAGGAACTAGCAGGGGCTTATGGGTGTGCGGCGCGCGCCTGGGGCGTCAGCAGGGGTGTGGTTAGCACAAAGCTTAGCAAACGGAGGGTGTGGCTAGCAGGGGTGTGGCTAGAAAAAGGGGGGTGTGGTTAGCGAGGGTGTGGTTAGCATAAGGGGTGTGGCTAGCACAGGGTGTGTGGCTAGCGAATGGGTGTGGTTGGCAAAAGGGGTGTGGCTAGGGAAATGGGTGTGGTTAGCATAAGGGGTGTGGTTAGCAAGGGTGTGGTTAGCAGGGGTGTGGCTAGCAAAAGGGGGTGTGGTTAGCAGGGGTGTGGTTAGCATAAGGGGGTGTGGTTAGCAGGGGTGTGGCTAGCAAAAGGGGGGTGTGGTTAGCAGGGGTGTGGTTGGCAGGAACTAGCAGGGGCTTATGGGTGTGCGGCGCGCGCCTGGGGCCGTCAGCAGGGGCGTGGTTAGCACAAAGCTTGGCTAGCAAAAGGGGGGTGTGGTTAGCAGGGGTGTGGTTGGCAGGAACTAGCAGGGGCTTATGGGTGTGCGGCGCGCGCCTGGGGCCGTCAGCAGGGGCGTGGTTAGCACAAAGCTTAGCAAACGGAGGGTGTTGGCCAGCAAAAGGGGGGTGTGGTTAGCGAGGGTGTGGTTAGCATAAGGGGTGTGGCTAGCACAGGGTGTGTGGCTAGCGAATGGGTGTGGTTGGCAAAAGGGGTGTGGCTAGGGAAATGGGTGTGGTTAGCATAAGGGGTGTGGCTTGCAAGGGTGTGGTTAGTTTTTGGGGCTTTAGAAAACTTTCGAGCAGACGTTGTGTTGCAAAGCCGCCTTCAGGCTCGTCAAGGATCAAGCCCACACTGTGGATGCGCAGGTGTCTCCGAGAAGATCGCAGAAACCACCCTGAACCTGAACTCGCCATGGCTATAAGTTGGCTATGGAAGCCTATGGCAAGACTGAATGAAAGCTTAAAGCCCCCCAGCCCTCTGGGAGCTTGGCCCAGGACTTGGACCTGGGTGACGTAGGAGGCGAGTTGGCCGGGGCCTTGGTCCAGGAAGCTCTGAGAGCACTGCAGGCTTCTGACAGCTTCTTTCTCAGTGGGTTTTATTCTTTTGACAGCCATTGCACAGAGAGGATGCGAGACAACTCCAAGAGCACTTTTTCTTCATGAAGGGGGCTGAGAGGTGGTCACCCTTAAGGTGTGGACGAAGCCCGTCGTTTTGGGGAAAGTTGTGGGCTACAACATCTACCTGGCCGTGGCTTGGCGCTGATTTTGAGACGTTGTGTTCATTGAGAGTTTACTTGTTGTGTTCTGCCCGGACACAGACAGAGGGGGAAAATAGTCTGGGGCGCCGCTTCGGGGCTATGCTTGCTGGAAGCTGGAAGGAAGGGAGGAAGCGGTTGAGACAAGTGGAGTGGCGGAAGTGGGAGAAAGTGAGGGAAAGGGAGCAAGATGAGCAAGACAAGAGATGCAGACGGTTGGGCAAGTACCCAAACCCAAAGCCGCTCTACTTCCGAGCCGTCTGATGATTCAGGAAACCGATGCTGCTGGGTCTGCCCGCTCCTCTTCGCTGACCGCCCAAGCTGTCACGCGCCAGTGCTTTGTTCGGGGTTGAGGTTTGGGGTTCAGGAGTTTCATCTTGGGCGGGGACGGTTCTCGTGGCCTGTTACAGTCGTTATAAGGATCGTGAAGGTTTCTTTGGTTCGAGGCCGTGCAACCCGTTCAACCCAGGCTTCCTCCACGACGTTTCTGGTGCCGGAGAACGTGCTCACCTTGACGTACAGGCACGGGCGCTTGAGTCGGGGGGTCTTGCTGCCGCAGTCTGCAGTCTAATTTAGGAGAAACGCCGGAAGTCCTGCCTCAGGTACTTTCACATTAACTCGTTCTCCGCTCTGGGTGGAGAACAAACCACACCGGTGGCCCACGAGTTTTACGATGCGGTGGCGGCTTGGCAGCACTTGAAAGACTTGCCTCCTTGACTGGAGCTCGTGCCTTTTGCATCACCGGCAGTGCTCGAAGCCACAAAGCCACAGCACCATGCAGAAGCTCTTCATGAATCCCCTCAGCCCTCAGGGCCCTCAGTATGAATCTGGTTCGTGTCCTTAGGCAAACGTCACTGACTTTTTCTGGATCGACCGGGATCTGGATGCTGGTGAGATCGGCCTCTGGGCTTTGTTGCAGCCCAAAGCACTCAGCTAGCCATACTAGCTATGCTACATTTTTTTGTAGAAGTGATGCGAGAATGAGAATACTGGGAGAAGTGCTTGGCATGGGTGGCTTGGTGGTGGTGTTGCTGGTGGCTAATAACCGTTTGTGATACTGCAAGGACTTTGTAGTTTTCGAGGGCTGGGACACATTGTGCGCAGGCGTGTGGAATTCATTGCGAGGTCCAAACATGCAGAGACTTGTGGGCATCTGGGGAGATGTAGAGTCGAGTGGCTGTTGCTTTGGGCGGTGGTTGTTTTCATGCCTTTTCCAGAATGGGTGACACGTGGGTTGGCCTCGCACTTGTAAACTGCATCTGTGACCATATAAGAAGCTTGGCAATCAATCTTAGGTGGTCCGTCAACGTACAACCCGCCAGACTACATCTACCGCACCTCGGCCGGGAATTTGGGCTGTGAGGTCTGAAGGATTGGAAGTAGGCGTGTCGAGGATGTGATGTTCAG